TCGACGATGTTGGCGGCACCATGATGTTAGCCGCAGGCGCAGGCGCAGGCGCAGGTGCAGGCACTGAAGGGCTCCGTACGGCGGCGTTGCTAGTACGGCGGTCAGCTTGCTGCGCCGGGCCGCCACCGCCGCTGCCGCCGGGATGTGATGGCCCCCGGGTGCCGCCGCTACACCCCTCACTGCCCGGAGCTGCCTCGGCGTTAGAGGTGCGCGGGAAACTGTCCGGCGGATGTGACGTCAGGCGGTTGCCGTACACGCCAACCTTGCCGCCGCCGGATCTGGCACCGCGCCCGGCCGGGCCCCTGCCGTACTCCGCTTCCACCCGTTCACTACCATGACCGGAATCACCGCCGGAAAAGCCCTCAACCACGGGGCCACTGCCGCGACCGCGCCTGCCACCGCCGCCGCTGCCGCCGCCGCCGCCGCGGCCAGCGCCTCTCCCGCCACCCCTGCCGCCGCGCTTAGTCGGCGCGGCAACCCAGCCACCAATGTCGTCATCGCGGGGGTATCCGTTGCCGCTGCCCCCCATCCTCAGCTCGCCACCGCCGCCGCCACCGCCGCCGCTTGTGCAAGCCAAGGACGTCGCTACCGCCTTCACCGGCTGCGGCGGCGGTAATGAGAACGACGGCGGCGTCGTCGGCGTCGGCGGTGGCGGCGGCACCTCCAAGATTAATTGCAGACCCCCTTGCGGAACGTCCACATGTACGAGCGCCTCTGCCACAAAGCAGTTGCTGCCGCCGCCGCGGCCGTCGCCGCCGTCAGCGCCCACTGCCAGCAGCTCCGGCGGCGGCCCCGCGCTGAGCAACTCCTCGGGGTTTAAGCAGCCGTCCTCAGGCCCTAGCTGCTGCTGCAGCTGCTGCTGTTGCTGCCCTGTACAGTGTCCTCCATCAGCCGCCGCCGCATCATCAGCATCAGCAGTAACCGATAGCGGCTGGCAGCCAACCCCTGGAGCCGCTAGCAGCCTATAATCCGTCAGGATCGAAATGGAATGGGAGACAGAGATGAAGTGAATCTGTACGGCCGGCTCCGTTTGAACGGTACGACCGGTTTCGTTTAAAAACTGTACGACCGGTTTCCTTTCAATGCCGGCAGGGCTTCAGGTTCCGGTGTCAGACAGACTGCAGCTCGCAGGTGTCCTCTGCCGCCAGGTGGCAGTACGGCGCCCAAAACACACACACGGGGCGACCCGGGATGGGGATGTCCGTTCAGCTAGCGTACACCGCATCAGCTTGGTGGGCTTAGTGGGCTTTCCCCGCCCTGACCCTGCTAAAAACACATACATCTGGAAAAAAACATGCGGCTGTGCCGTACTGCCGTACCAACCTAAAATCTTCGTCGTACACGGACTTGAGCACCAGTAGCTCCTCCAGCTGGCTCTGCCACGTCTCCACGTCCAACCTCATCGCGTGATTGCATGCGATCTGGGTCATCACCGTTTCTGGATCTGGGCTGGATCACCTGCTGTTATTTGATCTGGGTCAACTGTTTGACCCGTTTTTTGATTTGGGTCACCCTGAGTACCCAACTTGAATTTCCGATCTGGGTCAACCGTTTTTTTAAACTGGATCAACCGTTTTTTTTAACTGGATCACCTGCTGTTTTTTGATCTGGGTCACCCAAGCAGGTACTCGCAACAGCCTCTCCTGCCCCCTCCGCAACGTTATAAAACCTGCAGCAAAGCGCTCTCCCCTGCAGCTGGCCCCTGCTATTTCTGCCTTGTGCGGCGCTACCGCCCAAGGTGACACGCTGCTGGCTGTGGACGTGCTGCCGTCAGTATGTAAAAAACGGCCCTATCCGCAACGCACCCTGCACAGGGCCGGAGCTGCCAGCAAAACAACGCCGTGAATATCCCGCTGCTTCTCGCCCGGTGTAGGGGCTGCGTCCCTACACACAGGGTCTGTGCAGCCGCACTGAACCGCGCTCTGTGGGCTGCCAGCCCGCCGCGGGCCTCGACGCAAGGGCAGCGTGTTAGGATCTCCCCGCAGCTTGACCTGCACCCAACCGCCACACACCCAGCGGTGCGTCTAACCGTTAAATGTTCGTACTGTTGCTGCTGATGCTTCAGCTGATGATGCTCGTGGGCCCGCCTATTGCGTGAGCAACGCCCAGCCCGCGTATCCGAGCGAGGTAGCGCCGAACAGGACCACGACCGTGTTTGCCAGCAGGAAAGCGTACTCGACAGGAGGAAAGAGCTTTAGGAAGGGGTGGTTGTCCTCGAAGAAAGGCTGCGGGCGCGGGATGACAAGATGGCAACTTCGTCAACTAACGATACCCGTAATCGCAATGCGGCGTATAACGAAATCCTACCACAACTAGAAGCCAAATAGATACATAGATGAACGCTACCGTGGAAAAGAAAATTGTAAGACGTCCGTTGGTTGCGTCGCTGGGCATAGATTTCAAGGCCTCTCCGAATTAGAAAGACTGTAGCGTAGTTGCAAAAATGTCATTACTTCTTGCGGGCCCCAAAAAGTAGTTTTACGCAGGTACGCAGGTACGCAATATGCCTGGCCCGCGTGAAGCTGGCGTTTTGGCCACGGTACGGAAGCATGATGGACTTCGCTTTCTGCCGTTCCTCAACTTTTCCCGAAATAGATCGATGCAAAGGGTACAAATTTATAGCACATCATGGTGTCTGCTGCTGGATTTCGGCCCCAGGACCGCAGTTACATCCCCAGTCCGAACTCGTTAAAAGTCATTAGCTATAACATCCTTGCGCCAAAGTATGCAAGGTGTGTCAATTGATAGTTGCACGCCCTTTATCCTTAATCTATTGTGCAATGCACAGGGCCCTGGGGCCAAAAGTAGAACGCACATTTCCACTCAGCCGCTGCGTTTCCCCCGCTCAACCTAGCCTTCCCCATTCTTCCCCAATACAACAGCAATCCCATTCACGCTGCGAATTACCGAATCCCAACATTCCTGAACTAGACCTCTCGTGGAATGGGCATGCACCCCCCTAAAACACCATCCGCCACCAACCGCACTCCGGCATCCGCATTCCAACTCTGCCCTCGTTCCAACCCTCAACCCAAAACCTTCCGCCCTCTCGCCCCCACCTGCTCCACCACCACAACCTGCGCGCCGCCCTCACAGTTACAACAGCTACTGTCCGCCGCAGTTCCTGGCCTGGAAGTACCGCAGGGGGGGACTGCTACGGGAGCTGGACCACCTCAATCCAGACCTGCTTGGCCTGCAGGTAGGCGTGGACACACATACACACACAGACACACACAGACACACAGACACACAGACACACAGACAGACACACACAGACACACACAGACACACACAGACACACACAGACACACACAGACACACACAGACACACACAGACACACACAGACACACACAGACACACACAGACACACAGACACACAGACAGACAGACAGACACATAGCCCCACATCCTTCACGCGTGTCCGCACCTAATGTATGTGCATGGACAAAACTGGTAGACCGCAGGTAGACCAGGTAGTACTGGTGGTCTAAATGAATGAATGAATGAATGAATGAATGCCTAGTTTGACGGAGTCCTGTTCGTGTGGAACAAAGGAATGAATGGATGAAAGGAAAATGAATGAGTGAATGGATGAGTGGATCTTGTAAGGTAACAGCAACAGGAGGTCATTGGGCCGCATGG